ACTTTTGTTTGTTCTGGGCCTTTTGCCTTGCAAAAAGTTCAAGGTNGTTTTACCACTTTACATCTTCACCTCCTTTTGTTTTACATTTGAGATTTTCTTGGCTCATTACGCCTTGTTCTTCTGTCTTACCTGTTGTCAATTTGTCATCGACTGTATTGGTTCTTTGACCTATATTAACTTAGGACCTCCGTTTACCTGTGACCTTTTAATGTTTTCTTATGTTCAATTCAGGTACACGTTTTTTTTTAATGGTTCACTTCATGTTTTACTGTTCTTGAATACATCACGGCGATGTGTTGTAAAATTTTTCATTTGTGTCTTTGGCTCACTATAAGGGAAGCCCCGTCGGCTTCGGCACTATAAGGCGGGACTCTCGGAGCATTTTAATTATTTTACTGCTGTTGCCATCAGACTCTGTAATGTTTACATAATGTTACTCTGTAATGTTACTTTTTTGTATTTTATGTACTTTTTCTGTTTTTCTTGATTTAAATAAACATTTACCCGTATGCCCTAAATTGGGGCAGGTCGGGATAAATATTTCATAAAGTAAGTTACCTACACTTTCTGAATCGAATACAAAAGAAGTCTGCTCATGATGTTCATCTGAAAAGAAAGAAAAATAATTAGTCCAATTAAAAAATATTTTTTTAAAACTATTTAAACAACATATCAAATATAAATTTTAAAAAGAAAATTACTATTTTTTAAAAAATTTGGCTACTATTTTGCCACAATAATTTTAGTTAATGCTAGTGTATGTGTGTTATTAAGCATAAATAAAAATCATTCACTTTCTTGAAGAAGTTAACAGATTTGTAAAAATTTATCCAGTTATGAATGGTTATGGCAGGTTTTTTAAAATCATTTTACGAAATTATATTAATATGATCATATAATTTTGATCATGAATAATTAACATTACAGATACCAACAAAATTTTTATGTCGTTACCTCCAAGTCCAATCCAATCTTGATAGATATTTTCCAGGAATTTCATTTTCTCGTCGAACTCATCTAAATTTCGCTCAGATAAAAAAGAAGAAATCTTTGTCATTAAAGCCATTGCTTTCTTGAATTTTTCTTGACAAAATATAGGTTTCTTTTTTGGTGATGATACAGATATTTTTAGTTTTTCAGGCTCCTTTACTGGCAAGCAAGTGTAGGCACTATGGTGAGAAAAGTGATAATGCCTCGTCCATCGCTTGTTTAATAACAAATCATCAAATAATGGTTCTTGACGATTACTTCGTAACCTGTAACGACAATAAACAACAAAAAAATTATAAAATAATATTAATTTGCAAAAACTAAAATAATTTTTTTTGTTTTTAAAAGTATAATACGTTCGTCATAATGCATAAATTGGATTAAACTTACCGAAATATACGCTTGCAAGGAAGATTCACGCACAGAAAGAAAGAATATTTGCATTCATGCGCAGTAGCAGTTTCAGGAATCTCGGAAACTTTTGGTGTCTTTTTCAATTCTTTGCTTACAAGCTCAAAAGCAAAAGGTGTTAATGAATTGTAGAACTTTTCTTCAGTTGAATTTAATTGAGTTGTGGTCGATTTTTGATACATATTCAATGCTTTTTAGTTCCTTTCTCGTCTTAAACATCGAATTACTACAAATAATTTATCTACAAATTCATTTAATGAGGAAAAGGGCCTTATTACCGATTTCATTGTGGCATTTTATTTTTCTACTCGGTTGTTTGTTTTGTTGAACATGTTTAAATTTTTGTAACATCCAACTACTCACTCTTCCTTAATTATGTGCCAATTGTAGCTAAAATATGTCAGCATTTCTGGAGGTGGTACTTTGAAATAAGTTATTGTAAAGTTCGTCATGCATTGCAAAATTTTTAGCATAGCACACTGATTGAAATATTTCCTTGCACTTGTCTCTGAACTCTGCATTAATTTGATACTTCTCGCATGTTATTTCTCTATTAAAAGTTCTCAAAGAATGAAAAAGGCAGAGAATTAAATTTGCAGACGGAAAGACATCTCTTAAGACTTGTCTCTCTGTAACGTCCTTGTCGGTCATTATAACTTTAATATTGTCACAAGGATTTAATTTTTTGAAATAGCCACGAGCAAGTCTCTTTATCTTCATTAGCTAGTTCATCATTAACATTCATCCCTGCGAGCTCACTCATACCATTACCATCTTCAATCATAAAGACGCTGACAGGCATTTTTAGATCTATGAGTTTGTAAGTGTAGAATCTATAAAAACCATTTCAGGAAAAGCCTCAAATATTTTTTTCATCTAGTAATCTTGAATAATTGCTAAAAATCTTAAAAATTGCTTCTAGCTCTTAATTTTCATTAATTAATAACTCAACTGTACATCCGTATTTGGTTTGCAAATTTTTTACTACTGATTCTAAGTCACTTCCGTTTTTACCTAAAGGAATATCAAATTTTAATTAATTTAAGTAAAAAAATAGAATGCAAATTAGTTAGTAAATATGTACGTAAAAAATATTTCATTACATGATTAACCTACACTGTTTAAAATATTTTACCAAATAACGGGTGTCATTACCTCCAACTTTTACAATAAGTAATCTGGTGTGAAATTATACCAATATTGTGAAGCTTTTGCAAACACAATTATTGTAACTTAACGTTTCATTGAACATTTTATGTTTCATTGATTGCAGTTTTTTAAAGTTTCATATAATTAAATCCAGGGTTATTCTTTAAATTGGCCATGTTCGTAGCAAAATCACGTCAAGAGGCTTTTTTAATTGAATGATGATCATCGTGAAATCACTATGCTTAAAACTGTTTACACACAAGAACAGAAAGAATATTTTTGACAGTTTATCTTAGTAACTTTTAATACATAACGATGTGTTATACTTTGTTCTTTATTAATAGTCATTGTTTGAACTGAGAGAGAAAGAGAGCAAAACTATCTAAACAGTTAGTCAAACTTTATCTTCCCAATAAACAAGAGACTATTCGGAATCTGTAGTTTTTCATACCAATAGTTCGGGCATTCGGCTAGCAAATAAAGTGAATAGGGATAATGCATAACGCAGTGATCCAAATAAAATTAGTACGCAATTTTAAGGATTGGTGAGCGACAAGCTTGGTGCAAAGCCTTCTATTATATAGATAACTGTTATGTATGATTTAAATTAAGACAAAATTTTTAATATTTAATTAATTCAGATCTAATTTATTAAGTAATAAAATAGAAGAAAAATGATGGAATTGAATAAAAGAACGACGAAATAAATTTTTTTATATATATATATATAAGAAGCGAATGGAATGATAACACATAGCCAATCACAGAAGACTTCTGGTTAGTATCACACAAAACAGCCAATTAAAATTGAGAACGCATGTGTGTGAAAAGGTAATAATTTTTAATAATGCTGTCAAAAAATACAAAATACAAACTAACCTAAAATAAAACTCAGAGGACTTCTAATCAAATTAAGAAAACTCTACTATTACGTTTATAAAAAGGAAGATTTATTAAGTCAACAACAAAATTATAACATCGCCATTCCAAAAAAAAAAGCAAATCTCACACTTGTTACGTAAAACTATAAAAAGACCGAACGATTATTTATGCAAACGATTATATATGATTATTATGAACTAAACTTAATGCAAACGATTATTCCTGACGTCATTATATAAAAGTGTCATTAACGCAATATTATCCAGAGTTTATTAATAATTTTTAGTGGCAATGTAAAAAGATAGTTGTTCTAAATTTTTATAATAAAATGTTTGTTTTGATAGAACGCAGTTATTTATTTTAGAATTCTAATATATTTTAATAGCTCTGATAAATCGGGTAGAGTTATTGGAAGCACGAATTAATACTCTCTTAAAAAACTATTTACATTCCGAATTATCAAAATATATTGAACAGAGTTTACTTTAAAATACTTATATCTTTTATAAAAATGGATCGCCGTGAATATCTTAGGTGATATCAACAGCGACATAATTTAGCAGCACAAAATTACCTGGAAAATAATCGTAGTGCTATCAATACGCGACGGCGGAATGCGCGGCAAAAAAAAAAAAAAAACGTTGAAGAGTCAAGACGTTTAAATGAAAACGAATACCTTGGTGAGTCTTTATCAGACATTATACCCCCTTTTTCCATTGGAACATTCAGTGTTGAATGTATTAACTTTGGTGCTCTTTCGTTTCCAGCAGAGCATGGAAGAACGAAATTTAATTGCTGCCATCATGGCAAAGCAGAGCTCGCCAAATCTAGAATACCCAGAAGTATTAAAAGATCTTTTACTTGGCAGCCATTCTGATGCAATTAACTTTAAACGGAATGTTCGATCGTACAGCTCTGCATTTACGATGGCAGCTTTTTGCCCATCTCATGAAATTTCTTTTAAAGGTGATGTCAATGTTACTGCGACAACAAGCTTGATCCCTCCTAATAATCAAAATCACAAATTTGCTCAAGTTTATATCCAGGACAGTGATTTAGCATTGTCGAGTAGAATTTCAGATAAATGTCTTAGATCTGTCTTGCTTCTTATTCACAATGTCATGGAAAGAAATCCACATTGCCCAAGCTTATAGAACTCTTTATGATAGATATCAAGAGCATCCTAATGAAGATATCAAATTACAATTCCACCGAATAGTTGTAAAGGATCAACGAAGATACAATCTTCCCACAAGTGCTAGAGGGGAAGTAGCAGCAGTTATTGCGACTGGTGCACGTGGTGATATACCAAATGTTGATTTCATAGTGTATCCTAAGCATGAATATCAATGTCAAAAGCTGTATAAATTATCTCATCATGTAGAGCCTATGACTTTTCCTCTATTATTTCCTAGTGGAGATCCTGGCTATTCTCTAGACGTTGTAAATTTTGCTTCCTCTCAATGAATAAATGTCTTACAGTATTTTGGATGGCGCTTGCGTATAACAAGGAAATTCAACGTGTTGGGGGTTTAACGCAACAATACATTCTTTATGGCTATATAACTATGGAGTGGAATCGCTTCAATTTCATACGCAACCTTCAAAACCAATTTCGCAGGGAAACCACGAATGGTCTAATAGATCGTGTTCAAAATAGTTCTGCTAATACTTCAGAACCTATTAGACTTGGAAGAGTAGTGATTCTTCCATATTCGTTTTCAAGAAGTTCAAGATCGATGCAGCAGTACTTCCAAGATGCAATAGCATTATCAAGAGAAGTGGGGAGACCTGACTTATTTATTACCTTTACTGCTAATCCTCAATGGCCAGAAATTCATGATTTTTTACGTAGTCAAGGGACTGGTTTCAATGCAAGTGACATTCCTCATGTGGTTGTTAGGGCATTTTACTGCCGATTTGTAAAAGAAATTGCCTCAGGCAAAGTGTTTGGACAAATACTTGGTTACACATTTAATATTGAGTTTCAAAAAAGAGGCTTGCTCCATGCACATTGCCTTTTCATTTTAAATCCAAAGGACAAACTTTTAACACCAGAAGCATTAGACAGATTTATTTGTACTGAAACTCCAGACAGAGATAATTTTCCAAATCTTCACAATAAAGTCATGAAGCATATGCTTCATGGACCTAACACTGATGCAACTCCCTGTTATAATACTTTAACAGGTAAATGTCAAAAAAAGTATCCCTTTGCGTTTTGTGATGTGACTGATATGTCTGGAAACGGTTTTCCAAAATACATGCGTCGAGATAATCGAAATGCTATGCATTTTTACAGCAGGCGTGTGAATTATCGGTTGGTTCCAGTTGACAATTCCATGGTCGTGCCTTATAATTCACATCTGCTACTGAAATATGATTCTCACATCAATGTTTAGTACTGTGGTAGCGTTATGGCATACAAGTACATATTTAAGTATGGGAATAAAGGTCATGATCGTATAAAAGTTAGTATTGCGAATGATTCGGCAAATTACACACGGCACTTGAATGAAGTTGATAATTATATTGACACTCGCTTTGTAAGTTCAATGGAAGCAGCTTGGCATTTGTTAGAGTTGCCATTGCATGACCATTGCCACAGTATTATTCGTCTTCCTGTACATTTACCTGGCCATCAGCACATAACTTTCGAAGAAGGAAGGGAAGTAGATGCTCATACCTCCAGAAACTCAGTATCACAGTTGTTGGCATTCTTCACCCTTAGCAACGAAAATCCTGAGGCAAGACAGTTTTAATATTCAGACATTCCTAAAAATTTTGTACGAGTTCAGAAAGATCGTAAGTGGAAGAAAAGGCAACGTGGTGGAGAAAAAGTTATTGTTCGTTTAAGTGCTGTCTCATCATGTGATACTGAAAGATTATTTTTTGAAGTAACTTCAACAAAATATTTTTGGGCCATGTTCTTTTCAAGATTTGAAAACTGTTGCCGATGTTGAATATGACACTTTTCGGGAAGCCGCATATGCTTTAGATTATGGGCACGGCAATAGTAAAGTTGAAGAAATCATGATCGAAGTAATTCAAAATCTAATCCCTTAACAACTTCGAGTTTTTTTTTTTCTCACTTACTTTTGAATTGCAGTCAGATTAATGCTAAAGATTTGTGGGACAAATTTAAATCCAATCTATTGAATATAGTTGCCTGAGTGATATAGAGCAACGTCTTTGCAGTGAGGATATATTTCAAAACTTGTGGAAGAGATAAAACTTCTTTTGCATGACAACATTGATTGCAATTGGGTCAAAGCCCATGTGGGCATTCAAGGCAACGAGGAGGCGGATCGTGCAGCAAAAGAAGTCACGAGTGACTGCAACATCTCATTTGAAGTCCCCGGCTCCAATGCCCAAATTAAAATGGTGGTCAAATCACACAATATGAGTCGCTGGAAGCGGAAGTGGCAGAGTTCTGGGAAGGGCAGGCAAACTTTTAAATTCTACAAGGATCCAAAACTAAACAGACTGCAGGCAAATTTTTATTTTAACCAATTTTTAACGAGTCATGGAGTGTTCGAAGAACATCAAAATAGACTTTTTAATAAAAACATTCAATGCAATTACTGCGGGGAACAACAGACAATCGATCATTTAATTTTTAGTTGTTCCCAATTCCGGACACTTCGTGACAATAACTTTACCAATTTTAATCAACACCAATGTTTTGCCAATTTGGCCTGCAGAAAAATTATCATCTCTATTATTAAACAAACACTGGAAGATGTACTCGGAGACAGGCAATAAGACCCGGAACCTGCGCTCCCTATTTCTTGGGTGTCTCAAGCAGTTCATTGGCTTTTAACTTAATGTTTTACTTTATTCCATTTTTAATGATTTTATGTTATTCATTATTTGGCATTCATCTTTTCTACTGGGGCTTGATTTTATGCTTTCAAGGAGGATTTTTATCACTGTCAACTGTTTACAATTTTTATATTGGTTTTACCTGCATTTTTCCATTACGAGGGTGTTTAACTTCTCTGTAATTTTAACTTTTTTGTGTTCGACTTTATTACATTGTGATTTTATTTTATTTCTATGGTCTTTTGACTGTCTGTTTGCTCCTTTGGGTACTTCTGTAACTTTTATTTCTATTTATTGTACATTTTCTGTAGATCAATAATCTGGATTAATTATTGTTTTTATCTGCCATGTTATATAATGTGTGGAAGTGGAGTGGTAGAAATAAGGGTCCTTGGACCTCCTACCCTATAATCAGCTAACACTATAAGGGTCCTTTGACCTATTTAATATAATTTGTTTGTTTGGCCGCATTTTGTATCATTGTCCCTTGTGGCAATCTTTGATTGAAGTTGTAATCATGTATCAATCCAGTTGTATGATCTTGATGTAATCTTGACGTAAACTCTAAACAAAAAGGTTGGGTCGTGTCTTTATTTAATTGCAGTGAGGATAAAATTTTATTTGACTTTGGACTACCAAATCAAATATTTTCCCATTATCTGATGGTTTTTCATCAAATGAACATTTCCTAATTGCAGAAAATATGATTTCAAAACTAAACAGTGAACAAAGGCACATTTTTGAAATTATCAATTAATCAATTGATGATGATGCTCTTATGGATAATACTTTTTTTCGTAGAGGGGCCTGGTTGTACAGGTAAAACATTTCTATATAAATGCTTGTATCATCATAGGAGATTTCAAAATAAAAATATTCTGTGTGTTGCTTGGACTGGAATTGCTGCAATACTTCTGCCAAATGGCCGGACAGCTCACAGAATATTTAAGCTACCTATCAGCATGCCATCTTCAGAAGAAGAGATTGTACCTCTTTATTTAGACAGGAATTCTAAAAAAATTTTAACGAGTACGGATCTGATAATCTAGGATGAAGCATCAATGATACGTGAACTCGCTTTAAGGCTTATAGATTGCACTCTGAAAGATCTAATAATTTGTGATCGTGCATTTGGAGGGAAATGTATTTTGTTTGGTGGGGACTTACGTTAAGTGTTGCCAGTCTTAAAGCGAGCTAGATCACATCAGTTGGTGCATGGTATAATTAAATGTACCTCACTCTGGCGTCAAGTTAGAAGTTTCTCTCTCTCAAGAAATATGCGTGCTGATTGAGTAGATTTTCGAAAGTGGTTAATTTCAATAGGTAATGGTGAAAAATTATTTATTAGAAATTTCCACTGAAATGCTGTCATAAAATTGATAATTGAAGATACATTTGGGCCATGTATTTTAGAAACATCATTATCAAGTTGTGTTGTTTTGGCTCCATTAAATGAGCAAGCAAATGCTTTAACCGATTTGATTCTTCAAAAGTTCCCAGGAGAAACAATTATTTGCACAAGTTATGATACAGCAACTGCTGGTGACGGAGATGAGAGTGAGAATGAAAGCATAATGCTTCATTTTCAGCCTGAAT